CACCTTAATTCCAATTTTTATCCACAAATCGAAATTGATAAGTTATTACACAAATCAAACTCTTGAAAACAATTAAAGCTGTGTCTTATGACATGAAAATGATAGATTGTTAATGGGCTTAAGTGTTGTTCTCAGAAACAAAGTCTAATCCTGTCTAAATGGTTTGCAAATAATTTTAAAAATACATATTTAGGTACAACGAAAACAAATCAATTATAATCTCACTCCTTTAAGACCATGTGTACGAAATCACATTCAATTTGGTTATCATGAAATAACTTCTACATCGATCCCAATACACCAAGTCTAAATGTTCTAGTATTAATAAAAAATAATATATAAAAGTTCTAAAATTTAAAAATAAATTCAATTTTATAACTTACAAATATTACTTTACTTTTTAATCTTCTATTTACTCTACAAAGCAAAAATTACAAAATACATTGGTAATTATAGTTCAGTGTTCAATGAATAACAGTAATTGTGATTGAATGAAACCTATTAATCAAATGCTATTATATAACCAGATTCCAGAAATCCAAAGACAAAGTGATTAGTTATCAGTTGTTTTTGTGAAAAACAATCAAAATTCAAATCAAATATGTTATTCAATGTCAAAAATCAATTGCAAACGAATAATATGGGAATAGTTTATTCCTATTGTAGACATACAGTATAATATGGTATATTATATGGGTTGTTGTGCTGATTTTAGTTTTATGTATTTCACGTCCACCATATGTCACACCAGACCCCGTATCAAAACTTTTAAGCCAGGCATATCATATAAAATACTGAATTTAGCACTTTTATTCAAACTATTATAATCCCAATTTTAGTATTTGAATACCAATTTGGAAAGTGACGTAAACTTCCCCTCTTTAAGGGTGTTATCAATACATTCTCAATAAGTTATAATTGTTATACGGATTAATCTCTTGGTAACGATCATATTTTATCATTCAATTCATTGCTATTTATTTGAGGGGCAAATCACTCGGAGTTCACACTTTCAGGAGTGAATCCAAAGCGATAACTGAGCCGTTGTTTGGAGAATACAATCGCAGAGATGAGGTTTGCTTTGCTTTGTTTGCCATTAATTGGGCTCATCATCACCAGTGAAGCCGCCCGGAAAGGTATGGCATATGCAATCATTTTATATTTTAATTATATTTTCATAAAAAGTTTATAATACTAAATTAATTTAATATTAGAAAATTATTTATATATAGAATATTCCGTATGAATATCTATCTAATATAATTAAAGTACAGTATTTATATTTAGTTATGTAGAAGTACAATCAATCATTTATAAATAAATAATAATAATAGATTTCCCCTAAAATGAAATGTTTATAAATACAGTGCATTTAATTTAGAGGACAAATAAAAAAGGTAACCTCGTGTTAAAACTTTTCCAGACATAAACAATTCAATTACATAGTGTTTGTCTGTATTATATTTTTTAAAGGCTCAATTATATTATATTTTATAATTGAGTTATAATTATAACGTAATTTAATAACTTGTTAATGTATGATGAAATTAAATCATAGATCGATTTGATCAGAAATACCGAGTGGTGTGTTATTGGGGAGCATGGTCATTCTATAGGCCGGGGGATGGGAAGGTATGTCGCACTTCATTGTGTGAATCATTAAAGTTTCTGTGAATGCAATCCAATTGATGACTAATATCTGATTGAATACTACAATCAGTTTGAAGCGGAGAATACGAACCCTAATGTGTGCACTCATCTGATGTACGGATTCTCTAAACTAAATCCCGACAACACTATCGGTCTCTTCGATAAGGATTTAGACACTGGAGATACCGATTGGCAAAGTGGTCTCGAGTGGGGACACGGTTTGTGTGACTCGATTAACGTGTCATTCAAAAGCAACTTATGTTTAATGATGTGATTAACGTAGGAATGTATCGGCGATGGAATGACTTACGTATGGTTAACCCACACGCGACTACTATGATATCCATTGGGGGGTGGAATGAGGGGTCAGACAAGTACTCAAATATGGTCAGCAGTCCGGCTTCCAGGAAGACATTTGTCGACTCTGTGGTCAAGTTCCTGCAGGTACAGAATTTTGACGGTTTGGACCTCGACTGGTATATAAAGAAAAACATTTCGTTTAAATTAAACACAAATAACTTAATTGAATGATTGTCCCAAAAGGGAGTACCCGGGTATGCAAGCAGTGGGAGACGCCGACAGAAAGCCCGGCAAAGACACAGATAAAGCCAATTATATCGCACTCCTTAAGGAACTTCACGAGGCTTTCAAACCTCACGGCTTTGTATTATCGGCCGCTGTGTCCGCGGGAAAGCCCACTATCGATAGGGCCTATGATGTGAAATCAATGAGTACTTACTTGGATTTCATTAATCTGATGTCATACGACTTCCACGGGGGCTGGGAGAATAAGACAGGTCCGTCATATGGTTATAAACACAATGAATAACATTAACTAATTAGATGTCTTAATTGATTGACAGCTCATAACTCACCCCTTCATCCCAGACAAGAAGATGTGGAATTAGACAAAGAGTTTACTATTGAATATGCGGTCGACTATTGGCTCAAACTAGGAGCTGATGCCAAGAAACTTGTAATTCAATTTCATTTATAAGTTAAAATATGTTACTTATTGTGAGTTACGATTGAACACAGGTGTTGGGAATGCCATTATACGGACGCACATTCACTTTGGCTGATCCTAATCAACACGGAATAGGTGCTAAGGCTGTTGGAAAGGGTGGTGCGGCCGGACCTATCACTAGACTCATCGGAACTCTAGGCTATAATGAAGTAAAACTAATTGAAAAATTACAAAAATAGTATCAAATAATAATACAATTGATAATGAATTGAACAGATCTGTGGTATGTTGAAGAGTGGCTATAAGGTATACAGGGATGACGTCCAGAAGATCCCGTATGCCGTGAGTGGAGACCAATGGATTGGTTTCGATGATGTCCAGAGTATCACAGATAAAGTTAACTTTGTTAAGAGTAAGGGATTGGGAGGAGGAATGGTCTGGTCTATTGATACGGATGACTTCAGAGGTACTCCAGTCTTATACATAATTCATACAGTTCTAACTTATTTCATATCAATTTGAAAGGTTTGTGCGGACAGGGAAAGTATCCGCTACTCAAGACTATTAGCAAACTATTGAACGGAAGTTAGTATTGATATTTATTTCATAAACTAATTTATAAACATTTAATTAATTCATTCATTAAATAAATGAACAGTTGATGGAAACCCGGACCCAATAATTATTGAACACCACGTAACTAAAAAGCCAGCACCTGGTTCAACTCCGCAACCGGGTCCCGACCCAACACCCGCTCCAGTGTCACTGCCCACCAAAAAGCCCGGACCTACCCCTCAACCAGGCTCAACCCCTATAAAAGTGCTAAATTCAGTATTTTATATGATATGCCTGGCTTAAAAGTTTTGATACGGGGTCTGGTGTGACATATGGTGGACGTGAAATACATAAAACTAAAATCAGCACAACAACCCATATAATAAACCATATTATACTGTATGTCTACAATAGGAATAAACTATTCCCATATTATTCATTTGCAATTGATTTTTGACATTGAATAACATATTTGATTTGAATTTTGATTGTTTTTCACAAAAACAACTGATAACTAATCACTTTGTTTTTGGATTTCTGGAATCTGGTTATATAATAGTATTTGATTAATAGGTTTAATTCAATCACAATTACTGTTATTCATTGAACACTGAACTATAATTACCAATGTATTTTGTAATTTTTGTTTTGTAAAGCAAATAGAAGATTAAAAAGTAAAGTAATATTTGTAAGTTATAAAATTGAATTGAATTTTAAATTTTAGAAATTTTATATATTATTTTTTATAAATACTAGAACATTTAGACTTGGTGTATTGGGATCGATGTAGAAGTTATTTCATGATAACCAAATTGAATGTGATTTTGTACACATGGTCTTAATGAATGAGATTATAATTGATTTGTTTTCGTTGTACCTAAATATGTATTTTTAAAAATATTTGCAAACCATTTAGACAGGATTAGACTTTGTTTCTGAGAATAACACTTAAGCCCATTAACAATCTATCATTTTCATGTCATAAGACACAGCTTTAATTGTTTTCAAGAGTTTGATTTGTGTAATAACTTATCAATTTCGATTTGTGGATAAAAATTGGAATTAAGGTGCTCAGGGTTAAGGCATCAGACTCTGTGACTAGTATTTATTTCTACATAATATGAGTAGAATATGCAATTAATACATATACAATACCATTTATAACAGATATTACATAATTTTTTAAATATCATTAATAATATATTAATTCAAATAATGTTCTAAAATATTAAAGAAATTCTTAGAAAACTTTCTACATTTTGACAATAAGCTAAATTCATTAAAAAATTAACATTCAATGCAATGATCAATTATAAGCACTTATATTTGTTAACATATAATATAATAATTACATGGCTAGTAATTAAAATAATTAATAATTAATTAGCTTTTGTTCTCAGCATTAGTCAATCGACTATTTTAGTATTCTTACGCTTTTCATGATTTATAAAACTAATAACAAAAACAACACATATTTTTAATTCAATAAAAATTTTTATATAATAATACAATAAAATCATAATCGTGTTCAACAAATTGTGCGAAAAAATAAGAAATTTCATTAATATAATAATTTAGACAATTTTGCTTCAATACCGTAATTAAAAAATGTTTAACCTTTTGATGAAATTCTTTTGGCAAACATTTAGTACTTTTGGGAAACAAAAATAAGGGGACTTTTTGGATGTTTATCTAATTACTCACTGACACTACTAGTAATGATTATAAAATTTTTGGCAAATGTTGTGTTCATATATAATACAATTTTAGCCCAATTTTAACTCATTTGGGTTAAAATCAGATCGAGACTTGAAGTAATTACTAATTAGAAATGCGAGCAAATATCTGAATATTAAATTGAAGGTCAAAATTGTTTTATCGGTAAATATAATTGACTATTATTAAAGGAAAATTTTTAATTGAAAGTTAATAAATACATTAAACAGACAGAAATTTGTTGTTTTTAATATTTGCAAAGTCAACCGATAGAAATGACAGGAAATTTTATTACTTTCAACACAATTTTGAGTTAAAAATCAATTTAGGAAATGCTATAATAAACTTTTTAATTATTTATATTTAATATATTATTTAATTTCATTAATATAATAATTTAGACAATTTTGCTTCAATACCGTAATTAAAAAATGTTTAACCTTTTGATGAAATTCTTTTGGCAAACATTTAGTACTTTTGGGAAACAAAAATAAGGGGACTTTTCGGATGTTTATCTAATTACTCACTGACACTACTAGTAATGATTATAAAATTTTTGGCAAATGTTGTGTTCATATATAATACAATTTTACCCCAATTTTAACTCATTTGGGTTAAAATCAGATCGAGACTTGAAGTAATTACTAATTAGAAATGCGAGCAAATATCTGAATATTAAATTGAAGGTCAAAATTGTTTTATCGGTAAATATAATTAGCTATTATTGAAGGAAAATTTTTAATTGAAAGTTAATAAATACATTAAACAGACAGATATTTGTTGTTTGACAAATATTTGCAAAGTCAACCGATAGAAATGACAGGAAATTTTATTACTTTCAACACAATTTTGAGTTAAAAATCAATTTAGGAAATGCTATAATAAACTTTTTAATTATTTATATTTAATATATTATTGAAAAATTGCTATTAAATAAGTTATAAAATGAATTGACAATTTTTTTGGTCATCACTGTCACTGTAATCAGTGTTTACGAAGTTATATGAAGTGAAAAATAAGTTTTAGGATTGAATTGCTTTTGTAAATATTTTTATTGGTTTTAAAATTTCTAAATTTAATCAGAGTAATGACCAGTCATTTTAATTACATGAGATTTCTGTGAGACAAGTTTTAGTACATTTTTATTAGGATTATTTCAAAACAAACAGTGTATTCTTGACTTGAATAGTAATATTGATTTAGTAAAATTAATCATTTTATACCGTATAAAGTAAAATTTAATATTCAAGGCATTTATGCTGGGTTGTGAACTCTTGTTATCAAAATATTATATTATATTAAAAGACATTAAGCAAAAAAAGAGTTATTAATTTTTATTAAATAATTATTATAAAGAGAATAAATATCATAAAACTTTTTAATCTCAGGAGCAATTAAATAAAGTTTTATGCTTTCTTTAAAATAAGTAATTTTTGTCTCAAACTATATAAAAATATAAATGTACAAAACAACAGCTCATATTAAATAACATAATAATATTATTGTCTCATATGATGTTTGTGTTAATCAAAGTCACGAATTACATAATAAAATGTATTTTGAGAGAAATTTAGCGCAAGTCAGACACTCTGATAATAAATGTTTTATAAAAATACTTTTTATAGTCAAAATATTATTTAATTCACAAGTTTCTAAAACATCTGAGTTTTATAATAATATTATGTAATAAAATATTGTCTTATATAAACAATGATAATTAATGTATTTTATAAATTGAAATTAATTTTAAAAATTACAATGGTTTATTATATTTAAATTTTCATACTATTTCCTAAAATAAATTTATTAATCAATCAATTAAAAAATATTTAATGACAATTTTATTTAAATTACAATTAATATTGAAATTTTTGATTAATAAAAATCAAAAATTAATAAAATATTTTCAAACAAAATACTGTAGTTGTTAAATAAAATAATATAGTTATAATCAGTTTGTAATATACTTTTAGAGGTCATTCCTTACCAATTTTGCTTTCTTTAAAATAAGTAATTTTTGTCTCAAACTATATAAAAATATAAATGTACAAAACAACAGCTCATATTAAATAACATAATAATATTATTGTCTCATATGATGTTTGTGTTAATCAAAGTCATGAATTACATAATAAAATGTATTTTGAGAGAAATTTAGCGCAAGTCAGACACTCGGATAATAAATGTTTTATAAAAATGCTTTTTACAGTCAAAATATTATTTAATTCACAACAAGTTTATAAAACATCTGAGTTTTATAATAATATTATGTAATAAAATATTGTCTTATATAAACAATGATAATTAATGTATTTTATAAATTGAAATTAATTTTAAAAATTACAATGGTTGATTATATTTAAATTTTCATATTATTTCCTAAAATAAATTTATTAATCAATCAATTTAAAAATATTTAATGACAATTTTATTTAAATTACAATTAATATTCAAATTTTTGATTAATAAAAATCAAAAATTAATAAAATATTTTCAAACAAAATACTGTAGTTGTTAAATAAAATAATATAGTTATAATCAGTTTGTAATATACTTTTAGAGGTCATTCCTTACCAATTAGACTTAAATTATAAGTTATAACAAGAAATAATATTAGGCATACCAGCCTCAGTACCGGGTTTAATGATATATCAGTACACCATCCGACACAAGTAGGTATCGGTTAATACATATCTGGGGGCAGTGGGCGTACGCTCCGGGAGAGGGCATTAAGGTTTCTACATTAGCATCGAGACAATTACGAAATATGTACTAAAGGGGTACTACAGTTCAAATGCATTGTACGAGCAGTATTAGAAAAACATGTATGTGCTCGCATCATGTAAAAGTTATAAAGTTATATTGACTTATAATGACAAGAATCTATTGAAACAAATTCTGGTGTACCCGACCCCACGGCCCACGATTTGTAACTTAATTTTTTTGTTGATGGAGACAAACCCATCGGTCAATAGTATTGAAGGCTAAAGATCTGTAAAATTCCTGTTTTGATGTGATCTGAGACCTAATCTTCTGGTAGTGACGACTCAAAAGACTTTGAAATTATTGACTCAATTTCATTTGCATTTCATGTTTTTTGCATAATATCTTCAATTTATAGTAATAAATATTTTTCGATTATAAATGAGTCCAAAAATAAACTCTTTTTCTCATTACTAAAACATCATTTTGATTTAATATTGCATTGATTTATAATATATTTTGAAATAGTAGTCGTAATGTAATGTAAAAAATATAAACGTAAAAGTTTTTAAACATAACAACTCTTTTATGGGGGACGGGAAGGAAAGTATGATTTTAATTATTTAATTATCATTAGTTAATGACATTAGTCTAAATGTCTACTGAATAGTCACATTTGGTTTATATTTCTTAATATACATTAAAAACAACAAAATACAGTATTGAATGACAAATACAGTGGAAGTATGATATAAATAAGAGCACAGAATATATTGAAAGTAATTTATTGAATATAATTAAAGCGCCAAAAATTGAAGGCTATATACATGCGAGAGGTTTGTCACAAATGACTAATGAATCAGAGCTTTTAATCAATGCATATATTCCTATCGAAAACATTTGAATTACATATGAGAGGCAGAAAAGAGCAAAAATAGCATTCAATGTATAACTTATTCTGTGAGTGTGTTGTATAACATGTGCTCACAATGTTTGCAATGTTTGCGAGGGCTTTGAGGTTCACTCGAATCCCACAGTTTTCTAATACACAAGACTTACACTATTCGAGAGTTTCAGTGGTTTTAGTGTTGTTGCGCTAAACTGTCGCACATTTCCAGTCATTCAAAACGTGACTTCCATAGCGTGTATCCACTTCTTCATCACCACCACAACCATCACTACATCACATCCCAGTCCACAGTCACTCATATTCTGTACGTACTCTTAGCTTGTTTATAATTAATAATATTACAATTTATAATATTATTCCAGTTGTTGATAAATATATTTAGTAAATGTATTATGAGTTCATAGCTCTGGCAAAGTTGCCAATCGATAACTTCTAT